AAACAACAATATTGTATTCCCCCATATAAACGCGGTCAATAAATAATGGGATGAGGGTTTGTTTAATAACTTCCTTATTAAATATAGTAAAAATTTGTAATCTGGTACATTTAAAATTGATTATGAGGTAGACCTGATAAAACAAGAATATTCTGTATTACATTAAGAATATTCTGTGAAATTGAATGATTTTCTAAACCCATAGTCAGCGCAAAGATTCCTAATGCTAAAATTATATGGAGTAGATGAGATACTATATTTCAATATAAAAAAATAATTAAAAATATATCACATGCCTGCTTACAGTTTAACTTTGAAAATGGTCAATTCCGCCATAGACTCCCATATGTTTGGAAAATAAAATAAAATATTTTAAAATTTTGTGTACCTATCATAAGCCCTAATAAATTCTAATATGTATAGAACAAAAAATCTTTAAAAATATTTAAGTTTTAGGTGTTTATTAAGAGTTTTTAAAATCAATAAAAGGGAAAATAATGCACTTTTTGATTTATAAAACAATTTGGGAAACCTGTAAATGTTAATATACAAAAATAATTTTTTGTGCTATTCATATTAGGGTTAAATTGTACATATGATAGGCATAAAACATTTTCAATTATTTAATTTTATTTTCCAAACACATGGGACTCTATGACAGAATTGACCATTTTCAAAGTTAAACTGTAAGCAGGCATGCGATGTATTTTTAATTATTTTTTGATATTATTGAAATATAGTATCCCCTCTACCATATCCTTACTCCATATAATTTTAGCATTAGAATTATTTGCGCTGACCATGGGTCCAGTTGCGCTGACCATCCAATTTGACAGAATATTCTTCATGTCACAGAATATTCTTGTTTTTTCATGGCTACCTCATAATGAAATTTAAGTGTGCCAGAGTATAAATTTATGCTACACTTAATAAGTGAGCTATTAAACAAATCCCCATCCCATTATTTATTGATCCTGTTTATACCAGCTCAAATAAATATTATACTATTACTATATAAGGCATACAGAAAGGTTAGACGGGATTAAAATTTACTTTTCTCTGGAATTGCTTAACATTTTGAAAATCGGGGTTTTATTTACTAGGGGACATATCGGAGTATCAAGCATTAAAATCACGCAATTGTATAACACCCTGTATTATTTTTAATTGATTCCTTTACCAAATTATAGAGGAATAGTTAGGGTTTTGTTTGATATATAACATGTCCAGAATATTCTTTCATTTAATTTACAATTTGACTTAAATAGAAATAATTGATTCAAATTAAGTTCAAAAATCTTTATAAAATTTTCATGTTTGATCAGAAACTAAATTTTTAATGAATATTTTTAAAGAATTGTCTATTATAAATTAAATGAAAGAATATTCTGGACATGTTATATATCAAACAAAACCCTAACTATTCCTCTATAATTTGGTAAAGGAATCAATTAAAAATAATACAGGGTGTTCAAATAAACGACAATCAAAATGGTATCGTTAATTACAGGCTACCCTGTATAAAATCTGAAGTAAATCTGGAAAATAGCATTCAGTTTAAGAAAAGGATATATAAAGTTATAAATGATTTTTTTTCATGTAAAATACTAATTAATATTAAAAATATTTTAGATATAACAAACATTAAATAAAATTCAATTTATTTATCTGATAGACCAAAATGAGAAGAGCCTCTGAAAAATTGCTTTTATTTCTTCTTGAAACATTGCTTTTCTGTAAAGTTTGAAATTTACTTATATTAAACTTGATAAATTTCAAACTTTACAGAAAATCAAAGTTTCAATAAGACCTAAAAGCAATTTTTCAGAGGCTCTTCTCATTTTGGTCTATCAGATATCCAGTCAAAAAATATTGAAATTAAAATATAAAACTTTGAAACCAAATCCAAATCATTAAAAGTTGGAAAAAGTTTGTTCACAAAAATACGACCAAAACCTTTGAGATAAAAGTTTTGATCGGAAAAGTCTGTTTCGCCTGAAATTCAATTAATAATTTCTTTACGATAATATAATCATTGTATCCAATGGTTTCCAATTGTGATAATTACTGCAATAAAAATATCATATAAAGGTATAAACATAGTCACATATTTTGTATTTCATGGTATCCCACTGCGGAAATGTGGATAAAAATTGCATTTTTAACTGTAACTCTCTAAATGTTTAGATTTATTACCATTATTTATAAGGCGTTTATCTCGACAATAAATATGAAACTTTTTTAATGTGTTATTAATTCATTGCAGTCTACCAGTCATTCTGTTACCAGTAATATATATAATCGGTCCAAACAAATAATTTTATATTAGCCGAAATTATAATGTAGTTTTACTTTTTGAAATTTAAATAAATTGTCTTTAAATAAATCTTTAATTGCGCTCAAAATGAGTGAACTATTGAATAAGTTTCGCATTTGTTATACGATTGACGCCAATATTAAAAACGAAATTAAATTATTTCATGTTTTCACTAGTTTTCAACACTTAAATAAAGAAAATATAATATTTGTAACAAACAATGAATCGGTTTATTGTATGAGTCATAATCAAGGGGGTTGTCTGGGTTTGGGTCACGACAAGAAAGTGAAAACACCACAAATTATACCACAATTATGTAATCAAAGGATACAACGATTTATCAATGGCTTGGACTTTGTGTTGGCTATCAATGACATGAATCACGTGTTCAGTGGGGGTCACAATGATTGCGGACAATTGGGTAGACATACGAAAAAATTATTGGTTTTCGACAAAGAATTTGGAAATTATAAAAACATATCGGAATTAAATGACAAGAATATCACACAAATACGTTGTGGTATTCATCACTCCCTGGCCCTCACCACCAATGGACAGGTGTATGCGTGGGGTGACAATTATTTTGGACAAATTGGAAAATACACACCTTTTTCAGCATTCACACCAGAATTGCTAGAATTTCAAAACAATTATAAAATCAAAACTATTTTCGCTTTTGATAACAAATCGTTTGCCATTACTGTCGATGGTTTGGTATTCAGTTGGGGTGACAATTACTATGGTGAACTAGGGCATACCACAGAGTTCAAATCATTGTTACCTATATTGATCACAAATCTTATTGATATCAAATCAATAAGTTTATCCGGTAATCAGTACAACAAGTTTATGTGTTTTCTATCCAATTATTATATACTATATATTTTCGGCCAATTTTTGGATTATACGAACACCTATCAAACAATAAGTACCCCGATGCAAATTACAATCAACTTAAATGTCCAACAATTTACCGAGCTTCATTCGTATTATGCTAATCGACTATTTATAATACAAGCTAATTACCAAATTTATGAAATAATCTCGCCATTTCAATATAAACAATATAATTACAATAATTTTGTTGATTATTACGCCAATGAATGTAACATAAGTTACAATACGTTAAGCATCAATACAACAGAATATTCCGATGAAACCAAATCACATATAATGAACAAAAAAGTGAAAGTGATCTATGATTTTGATACACAAAATGAAAGCGAACTCAGACTAGAAGTGGATGACGTGATTGAGGTGTTGGATGAGGTAGAGGATGGTATGTATCATCGATCGCACCATTCATTGAATCCCTACTAATATATAGAGAATTAGGTTTCAAACCAACTATTTGTCAGTAAGATTTAAAATAGTGATGTGCAAATAATTTAATGAATACTACACCAGAATGTACACAAATAATATACATTAAAATGTCTATATCACCAAATGTGTATATAGCATTTGTACCTTGTAATTCCCGACCGGGAATTGCTCCTGCTAATTGTAATTAAACCCGACTGAATTATAGTATCGTATAGTAATAATATCCATGTCCTGTAAACTATGGGAGTGTCTTAGGTGTCTAAATCGGTGGTTATATCAATCGACGCGCTATAAAAACTCTATAACTTTTGCTGTAAAAATGAGTCAGAGTTACAATACTAGGACTGAATGTATTTCACGGTTAAAATGTATAGTTTTTATAGCGCGTCGATCGATATAACCACCAATTTGGACACTTAAGACATTCCCATAGTTTACAGGACATGGATATTATTACTATATGATACGATACGAGTATGATTCAGTCGGGTTTAATTACAAATAGCAGGAACAATTCCAGTTCAGGCATTGTTGGTCATAAATTATGGCTCATAATTCAAATGTAAAGACAAAATCGTGTGTATTTTGTTTACGAAAAATTAATGCTTTTGTTAGAGTGCTAATTGTTTCACATTCACTGCAATGCGTATAATTGCATAGCATTGTAAAACTATAACACATTTCACGTGCACTAAAATCACGCGCTTTTGACTTTACAATTAAATTATGACCAAGGTGCAAATGCTATTAATAATTGGTGGTATGGACATAAAATGTACATTATCTGTGAATATTTTGGTGTAGTATTCATTAAATTATTTGCACATTAATATTTTAAATCTTACTGTCAAATAGTTGGTTTGAAATATAATGCTCGTTAAAATTGTCTCTTAATTATGACCCAAAGGCTGGTGGAAAGGCATCTCTCGTGCGGGCATTACGGGTGTCTTTCCCTCTAATTTCGTGGTCGAAGTGACCGACGATTCGCCGAAAGTCAACGAAAAGATAGACTCGACGTCCGGTCAGAGCGAAAAAGTGCCAAAAAGTAACACAAAATCTAATGAAATAAAACAGCAATTAAACACAAAAACTGAATCCAATTCTGGTAAAACTAACCCACAATTAAACCAAAAATTTAATATCAATTCAACTGAAGTAGAAAATATATTCAATTCAAAAGTGGTGACAAACTCTAGTAAACCGATATCACTATTAGACACTAAAGTTGTGACAAATAATTATCAAAACCTTTTCGAGGAGTTGTCGGCTATAGGGTCGGGAGGTTTCGGGACTGTGTTTAAAGTGAAGCATAGATTCGATGAACACATATATGCCGTCAAAAGAGTCGAGTTTAAGAGTAAATGAAAAATTAAATTATTTAACAAATATTTTAAAATTTGAAATTAATTTCAGAAACTTCTGATGAATATATGGAAAGAATTATGAAAAAAGTCAAGAATTTATTGTCCGTTCGTTCAGATTATTGTGTTCAATATTACGACTCATGGTCTGAAAGCAAACACTTCTACATTCAGATGGAGTTCTGTTCACATAATTTACGGAATATTCTCGAATTAAAACCACAGGTATTATCGAGACAAATAGGAGAAGCCATGGATTGTGTCGAGTATTTCATTTCATGTGAAATATTTCGTCAGATCTTAGAAAGTGTTCAGTATTTGCATGAATTGAATCCACAGATCATTCACAGAGACCTCAAACCCGACAATATATTGATTGAAGGAAACGGAAGGAATGTTAGATTCATTAAGTTATGTGACTTTGGTTTGGCTAAAGTTCACGAGAAAAACATAAATATGACTTACGATAAACACACTACAGGTGTGGGTACACCAAAATACCAAGCTCCAGAAATATCCCAGGGTATTAAATATGGGCATAAAGTAGACATTTATAGTCTGGCTATTATTGGCGGAGAACTAATGGATTTGGATTTATTTACCACAGATCCTGATACGTATGAAATGTTTTAATTGATAACTTAATAAATAATTTAAATATTATATCTAAATATAGTGTCGAAAACCTTTACTCCGGGAATGAAATGATTAAAACAAATATCATTGAAATGTTAAATATATTGCATTCAATGGTTTTACCCCTTTATAACCGAAGGCCTGACTGTTCACACGTTTTGAATAAATATAACGATTGGGCTATCGATCAGAATATTCTTAAGGTAACAAGTATTGAATTAATATTATCTCAACTCAAGAATCATCATGATCAATTTTTCATCAATTTTTTTCAAAGTAAACTTAAATTAGTTAACTGAACATTTATTTAAAATAAAGTTATAATAATGACTTATAAACTCAAATGAGTAAATTATTATTATAAAATAGTTATGCTTTCAATCACATGGAGTTTATTCAAAAGTATTGTAATTCATCAATATAGATGAGCATGCTAGTTATTATCAGTGGCGCCTAATATACTGTGTATGTATAGCGTAAGGGATGACATATTTAAACCACTGCTTTCACCATTAACTATATTAATACACAATTAACTTTATAATAAAATTCTTATTAATTAATATCATTATATTAACTTTAGGTAATGATAAGGAAATTAAATTTCCCTAGATAAAAATACGTTAATTATATTTCTAGAATTTTAATAACTTAATCAAATGATTTATTAATATTGTTTTATTTATAAAAAAATTTATGATACAATTAAGACCAATGTTCATAGTATTTAGATTAAACAAAATATTATTATTTATTTCTAACATAGCGTAGATTTTTTTTATATAAAATATAACGAGAATTATTAAATATTGTAACAATATGAATAAAACATATTTTAATTAAAATGAAAGGTATTTGCAATTTAAAAATGTGGTACTCGAGTTGTGGTTATGGATAGCAATTTAAGTGATTATACCAATAGAGGAATATATGGTACATGTCTATTACAGGCAATCCGTAAAAATACAATTGCGTGATTTTAATGCTTGATACTCCGATATGTCCCCTAGTAAATAAAACCCCGATTTTCAAAATGTTAAGCAATTCCAGAGAAAAGTAAATTTTAATCCCGTCTAACCTTTCTGTATGCCTTCCTCTATATTTTGGCGAAGGAATCAATTAAAAATAATACAGGGTGTTCAAATAAACGACAATCAAAATGGCATCGTTAATTAAAGGCTACCCTGTACAATGATATCAATATTCAATGATTACAATACAAATTATATTTTATTTAATCGCGTGTTTGTATCATCAGAATTGGTGTTCAATGTGTTGTAACTTATGTTGCATTCATTGGCGTGATAATCGACAAGATTATTGTATGAATATTTTGTAATTTGACTTGGTGAGATAATTTCACAAATATTATCATCACACTTTATTATTAATTGCTTAGGATAATAATATGAGTGATGTTGGTGAAAATGTTGAACATTTAAGTTCTTTATATAATACTTTGGAGACTTAATGTATACAAAACTACTTCTGATAACTAAAAACACATGTACAGGGTGGTTAATTTGTAAAAATTAATATTATACTTGTTTTTGTATTAATGCCTTATTCTTATCACTGATTTAAAAGTTTGAAATAAAAACACGTTTACAAAAATATTCCCTAATATAACACACATTTGTTATCTTGATAATTATTTATTTAGACATGTTTAAGTAATAAAGAATGAATGATTATAATTATTTATGTCATTTTAAAGTATCTATTATAATTCAATAATATTAATCAAAATTGTTAATCTGTATCTATTATTTCATATGTTTTATGTATTAATTGATATTAAAATTAATTTAAACTTCCTAATATTATGCATTCTTTATTGTTTTAAATAATCTACTATTAATAATAAAAATTTTATTAAAACTGTATAATAACTATAGGTTTGATAACTTGTAGCCCTACTGGTAGAGTAAATTAAACAAAAATAATACAGTATTTTAAATTAATTAACTAAATTATATACCAGTGCATATAACTATTATACTATTATACGGCATACAGAAAGGTTAGACGGGATTAAAATTTACTTTTCTCTGGAATTGCTTAACATTTTGAAAATCGGGGTTTTATTTACTAGGGGACATATCGGAGTATCAAGCATTAAAATCACGCAATTGTATTTTTACGGATTGCCTGTACTAGACATGTACTGTATATCCTTCTATTGGTATAATCACTTAAATTGCTATCCATGTCCACAACTCCAGTACCACTTTTTTAAATTGCAAATAGCTTTCATTTTAATTAAATATATTTTGTTCATATTAAGTTACAATATTTAATAATTCACGTTATATTTTATATAACAAAAAATCAACGCTATGCTAGAAATAAATAGTAATATTTTGTTTAGTCTAAATATTATGAACATTGGTCTTAATTGTATCATAATTTTTATAAATATAATAATATTATACGATTAAGGTATTATAATTTTAGAAATATAATTTTATAAAAGGTAAAACAAATAATATATAGTTAACTGTAATTAAAATACAATAATAAAAGAATATATTGAACTTAATTTATAAGTTGATTGAGGTTTGTGTTGTCACAAGAGCACATTTTAATAACAATAAAATTTACTTTTTAACTTACAATTTGTGACACAATTTGACCGATAATTGTCTTCGATATTATTTGCGGACAAAATTGCAAT